GAAGCAGAAGGATCGAAACTTTGAGACCAGTGTGGATAACTTACCGATACCCTGTCTCAAATTTTAAAAAATATTTTTTTAAAAGAGCTGGGCTGTAGCTCCATGGTAGAGCACTTGCCCAATACTTACAAGCCCTTGGGCTTGATCTCCAGAACTGGGGAGAAAAAATAGTGGAGCCTAGCAGGACATCTTCAGGTCACTGGGGATGTGCCCCTGGAGGGGATAGTTGTGGGAGGCCAACCTCACACGTGACTGAGTTACACTCCCGGCTGGGTGCTGAGGCTCTCAGACACAGAAATGTGGCACCCTTCTTGGGTTCGAGGGTTGGTGTCTCGTGCATGGGTGTGCCTTCCTACAGCCCCATGGGTGGAGCTACGCTCACCTGTTCCTTTGTAATATAACCCCTTGCCCTGTTTAGGATAGAATCTTCCGTGGAAGTGCCTTGAGTGTGTCCCCTTCTCTTACTGTGCCCTTGGGTGTGGCCTACCCAGGTGTCAGTCAACCTGCTGACAGTGGACATCATGAAGATAGACTCAGCCCCTGAAACCTGACCCCTTGCCTCATTTGAATAGCTTCTCCTCAATAAAAGGGGTCAKCGTGTGCTCTCTCTCTCTCTTCTGTGGACCCTTAAGGTCAGAGGAGCCGTCACAGCAACCCCAAAGAAAAAGGTATTTGTGTCTCTTGTGTGGTTATTTCGTGCAGCCCAGTCAGCCCAGTTCCCCTGGAGTGACCCCTGAGCCTTTTAGTCTCGAGAACAGAAACCCGGCAGATAGTAAGACATTCCTCTTTCTCTGTGCTCTYTGGCCATGGGGCAAGCAGTTCTGCCCTGCACTGTGCCCATGATGTGCCACCTTGCCGTGAGCCCCCAAACAACGGGGCCAATCAATCATGGACCAAACCCCAAAGCTGTGAATCAAAATTAACTTTTCTATTTTTTTTGTGTGTGGGGGGGGGGGTACTAGGGACTGAACCCAGAGGCACTTTACCACTAAGCCACATCCTTCAGCCCTTTTTATTTTTTATTTTGAGACAGGGTCTCTCTAAGTTGCTTAGGGCCTCACTAAGTTGCTGAGGCTGMCTTTGAACTTGCAGTCCTCCTGCCTCAGCCTCCAGAGTCACTGGAATTATAAGGGCACACATCATGCCCAGTTAACTTTTCCTCTTTATAAGTTGATTACATCAGATATTTGTCACAGTAACAGAAAACTGATGAACACAATATCCTAAAAGAATTCACCCAACCCCAAAGCCCCCATCGGCAGCTGTACTTCTCCCCAACATGCTCAAGAATAATCAGTTTCTCCCCCACTTCCTTCTCTCCCCTTATCTCAGTGGCCTCTGATCTACTTCGCCATTATTGCACTGAAGCAGCTGTCACAGATTCATGGTGGCCCGTGACCTGCGTCTTTCCAACACCATTGCTCACCCTGCTCCTCCTCTCTCAGCAGCCCCATGACTGACCGCCGCCTTCCTTCCTGAGCCCTCTTCATCTCACACTTCCTTACTCGACCTTCACTCCCTGCCACCCAGCCTCACTGTCCCCTCGGCCCTCCGTGGCACCTCTGGTCTCACACTCGACCCATGTGATCTCATTCTCAACTTCAAATGCTTCTAGCCACAGCTGCCTTCCCTGATGCTGTCTCGGCCCTGACTCTCCCTTAAGCTCCGGACTGACGTCTCCCACTGCCCACTCCTCGTGCCGCCTGTCTCCTCCACAAACCAGAATTGTAGGTTCACACTCCCACATATCACCCAGTTGCTCAGACCAAGTATAATAGAGCCTTCATGTTTTTGTAAACAAGAACAGAGAAGGAAGGAGGAAGGGAAGTGGGGGTGGGAAGGAAGGAGCTGTCCAAACCACAGGTCAGTGCCACCCTTCCCCACTGACCCTAGCAATGAGGCTTCCCCAGGGATTCTGCTGTCTTCTCTCAAGGCTTTGTGGCCTCTCCGCCCCGACCCCATTGATGGCTCCTGACCCCTGCATGCACTGGGTCAGCAGGCACAGGTCTTCCAGTCCATGTGCACAGGCAGCCCCGACTGCTGCGCTCTGAAGGAGACTCTGTTCCCAGCTCTGTACCTGGCCATGGGGTCCCTCACATCCGCCCACGAGAGCTGTCCCCCACATAGAGCCCCCCCAGTTCCCAGGGTCAGACTGGACAAGTTGTTGGAGGTGGAAAGAGGAGGCTAAGTGGGCAGGGCTGTGGGAAAGTGTGGTTCRGGAACAAGCTGAGACTCAAGGCCCCACTCTGGCCACAGGGACACATTCTGGCTCAGGCTCATGCAGTTGAGTCATGTGGCAATACCCGGCAGGGGGCTAGGCAGGGAGCCTGGCTGAAGGTAGCTGGAAACCCTCACTGGCATGGCTACCTCGACTGGAACATGGGGACCCCAGAGCAAAGAGGGTAAGTGAATGTCAGGCCTCTCTCTGCTTGGAGCCCAGGGTCTGCAGGGCTGACCGAGCAAGGAGGAGCCCAGGTGCAGGCACAGGGAGGGGAGCAACCTGGCTGTTCAACAGGTGACCACAACAGGTGGGTGGGAGAGGTAACTGCAGGCAGGTGAATGTAGAATCTGTGGGAGAGTTGTGTATTCAGAGGGCAGAACTACCCTGCCCACCCTGGGACTGTGAGGACCCCTTATGCCCAAGACCCAGGATGCTCCAAGAGCCCACCGTTGACCCAGCCACCACACACACACATACACACCCCATAGCTCTGGTCACTTAGAGGAGGTGGCCTTTTCCATTTGCAGAAGATTCCTGAGCAGAGCGACTAAGGCCGAGAACCCATCCAAATATTTCCAAATCTCCTGGCTCTGGGGAACCCCACCCCTTAGGAAGGGGGTGGCTTCCAGGCTCTGTTGGCCTCGCTGCAGGAGTTCAGTCTCCCTTTCCCTCCATCCGCCTCCACACCATTCTCTCCAACACCCAGACTCCCTCTCCACCTCTCCTTCTCCGTCTCCGTCTCCTATCCTCTCCCCCAATCTCCTGACCGCTCCCTCACAGCCTCTCATTTTTGTCTCAAATATTCAATCTTTCTCCTTCTCTCTTTCTTTCTCCCCACCTTCATGCGCGCGCGCACACACACACACACACACACACACACACACACTCATATATATACACAGAGCAGCAGCAGCAGACCCAGCACCCAAGGGTCTGTCCCCTGGGCATGAGTGCTGAACAGAGGCCCCATGTTAAGGCACCTTTGTACACATATTGCATGTGGCAAACGGGCACAAATTTTATGTGCATGTGTGCATAGTATTTGTGTAAACCCTTGCTCCTGGGCCTTTGTAGGCTGCCTATGGCTCCTTCACTGGATAGTTCAGACTAAATTTGGGCATGCTAATCAAAGGGGGCAGGGCTAAGCAGAGCACCTCTGGCTCTGGCCACAGTACCAGCCCCACACCAGGTACTGCAGAGACAAACGTGGCCAAGACGGAGCCTGTCTGTCTGTGGCTCACTACCTAATGGGGAGAAGGATGTCAAGAGAATTATTGCTCAGATACATGAAAGTACGTGTGAACAAAGGCACAGCTGGAGGTGTTGCCAGGGAGATATCCTAGGGACAGGTGGGTCTGGGAGGGTCCAGCCCATCTTCCAGGCTCTCACACTATTCCCTCAGTCCCAGATCAATGTAACTCCTGGAAATGGACTGGAGATGCTGCTCTTATTAAATAAACTTGGAGGGGCCCAAAATTCTAAGTGTCACTGGAGTGTAGTAATGGAGCCTGACTTCAGGGTGTCTGAGATCTGAAGGATGTGATGAGAAATGAGAGCACTGGGCACAGTGGCTCCAGGCAGGGGGAACTGCACAGGTAGTGGCTCTGCAGTAGGGTACAGTGGCTGTCACCAGTCCTGACATAAGGCCATATGGGGCCCAGAGAGAAAGGGCAGGGTGCCCTGAAATGAGGCATATCCTTGGTTCTGATCCTGATAAAGTATGGGGGCTCCAGACGGTGGGGACTCAGTCCACCTGGGTCAGGGGAGCATGGAACCAAGATGGAGGGGCATGGAGGGCAGTGGTGACCCCCACCGCCAGAGAGCAGGGGCCACCTCCACCGCAGACAGAGGAAGAGAGTTGGACTGAGTTTGCGACAAGGAGAAACCACGGCCAAAGCAGGTTTGAAATGGGAAGCAAAGAAGGGCACTCAGAAGAAAGCTTTGCAATGAACTGGCTAGAAAGCAAAGCACCCGGCTCCAAAAGAAGCAAAGACCAGAAACGGAGCCTCGCACTCCTGGGATTCAGTCTTCTGGTTTTGATGAAGTCCCCTTCTCTGGAGGAACACCTCCCGTATCTCATAACTTAATTATTGCATTAAGTAATTTATTAGCCACCATCAAACTTCCATGTACTTGCTTCTCCCGCCCACCAGGGGGCCTCCCAGCTCCAGGCCTCAGGGACTGGAAGTCACTGTCCTGCTGTCCTCTCCCGTGCACCCGGTTGGGATTCCTAGCACCTTGATCTTGGCAGATTAATGATTCTACAAGCAAGGAGACCTCCCCTGTAATGGTGTGTGTGTGTGTGTGTGTGTGTGTGTGTGTGTGTATGTGTGTGTGTGTGTGTGTGTGTGTGTGCGCGCACGCGCGCAAGAACAGCAGCCAAGAGGAGGTGGTGGTGCTTTCATTCATTCAAAACAGTCCATGAAAACCAACCACAGTTGGTCATGACCAAAGCCCCCCCACTCCCCACCCCCTCCAAGTGTAAATCCAACATCACGGGTCAGTGAAAAATCTGGGCCCCAATGCTCATGTGTGTTTCAAAGAAAAAAATCGAATCTACATTCCCCAAAACACAGTTTATGAGGTCACAGCTCTTACGACAGTGACACACAACACCCTCCTTTGCCCACTAAGTTCTGAAATGCAGGTACACCTTGTGAGGTTTTGGAGGAATTTACACAAAAATAGTTAAGGGACAATGTTGTTACCACCCCAAATCCAGCTGTGTGGTATACAATAAGACCTCTGTGAGTCTGCTGTAATTTTAAGAAATAACCACCCCAGTCCAAGTTCTTACAAGAAAACTATATTCTTTTAAAGAAAATGAAAATATCCTCAAAGGAAAAACTTAATTTAAGTCAAATCACATCCGTTTGTAGTGGAGCCTGGTACACAGCGCGCGCGCACAGGGGCTTCCCGGGCCGGCGCGCAGTGCGCCCSCTCGCGGCCGCTCCTCGCCCCCACCTGCGGCTGGAGCTGGGAGCGAGGTCCTGGCCGGGGGCTGAGGATGGTGGGGAGGGGCAAGGCCCAAGCCAGGGGCCAGGGCAGGGGAAACTGTGGCTGAAAACACCCTCGAGCCCCCATGGCCAAATCCCACAATGTTCCCACAAAAACAAGACACCCTCCTCRCCCACCAGCGGGCAAGGCACTTAGGAAACACAAGCCGACCTGTGCCCTCCGCGACCCCAGGGCGCACGCTTGGAGAGGGTCCCAGGCGCCTTCCGAACCAAGGAAAGTGGCACCCCGTGGAGAGTCCCCGCCAAGGAAGGAGGACCTCTCCACCTTTCCCGCCCAGCGACCCACAGCCCAGGAGGCTGCAGGGGCACAGGGAGTCCTGGAACCGAAAGCTGGTGAGTGGGCAGGTGGGAGGCAGCAGGGCACCCGAGGGAAGTGGCTTGGGGAGGCACAGACGGTGAATAAATAGAAGTAGCTTCAACGCGGGGGTCCGGCCCCTGCGGCAGGCCAGCAGCTGGGTAGGTGTTGGATGGAGTGGGTGGAAGCGGCGGCAGGGCCCACGGGACACTGACCAGGGCCACCCTCCCTCCTCCCACGTCCACGCCCACCCCACCCCAGCTCAGAGCTCAGTGACGTGCACAGCGGGGGAGGGAAGTGGGCCGTGCCCGAGGCGCCGCAGGTGGCAACGTCGGCACAGCAGGTGGCCCTCCAGGGGATAACAGCGGCGTCCGTCCTCTCCGCTCAGCTGCAACCCGCAGTCCTAGGAAAGAACACAGGCGGGGACACCAGAGTAAGAGGGGAGGGGGCACAACCAGGATAATCGGAGGTCAGGGAGTGGGGACAGATCGGTAGGCTCTGGACAACACGGCTGGCACTCTGCCAGGGGCAGAACAAGGACCCCTGTGCGCACTGGAGGTGCCTCTTGGACACCAAGAGTAAGGCACCGATGTGGGCCCGGAGGGAGGGGACAAAAAGCTGAGCCTTGGAAGAGGAAGAGGCAAAAGAGACCGGAGGAGAAAATGCAAGCGAGGAAAACCAAACCCGGTGGGTCCTGGGGACAGGGAGGGGGCCGGGGAGGAGGGGCGGCCAGTGTGCAGGAAGTGCTCCACATCAGGGGAGCGGAATGTCTGACCCAAGCGGCTTCAAGAGCGACCTTAGGGGGACTGGGGGCATGGTGCAGGGCTGGAGTATGTCCCATAGCCTAGTGTGCAAGAAGGGGACCTGGGTTAGAGCCCCACCAGAGGGGGGAGGGGTAACGTGACACAAAGCCTCTGAGACCCAGCCTGCCCCACTCCCACCGTAGGGCTGGGCTGCCGCCATGAAGTCACAGCCCCAGGTCCCAAGTCACTCCTGCTGCAGGTCTTCTCCTATCCTTCCTCACACCCCTACCTTGTCCTGCTACTTGCCCCTGCCCACCAGAGGGGAGGAGGAAGGGAGGCTGGACCCCTAGCTCCACYCACAGCCTGGGGCAGGGGCAACAGGCCCCAGCAGCCTGTTGGGCTTCAGCCACTGGCCAAGGACTGTGGTCATCCCCTGGGATGGCTAAGCAGGCAGAGGGGCACTGAGGCCCTGTTAGTGCTGGAGGGGAAGCCATGGCCCCTCTAGAGACTACAGCTCTCCTCCTCCTCCTTCCTGGGTCCCCCAGCAGGACTCTGCTCCCACTGGGCCATCTGCCCCCACCAAACACCTCACTGTTCCTACTGCAGACCCCCCTTCTCTCCTTGGGACTCTGTAACCAACGTACTCTCCTTGGTTTCCTACCACTCCTCTGTCCTCCCTTTCCCGCCCCTTAATACCAGTATTCCTGGGGTTTTCTCCTCCCTCTACAACCCTCCCTGGAAGGCCTCATCTGTTCCCCAGCTTCCAGTGCCACGTGTTCCCTTGACAAGCTCCCCTTCCCCTGTGGCAGAGTGATAAGAATTGGATTTCCCCTCCAAACTTTTTTTTTTTTTTTTTTGGCACCAGGGAAGGACCCCAGGGGCTCTTAAGCACTGAGCCACATCCCCAGCCCCTTTTCTGTATTTTCTTTAAAGACAGTGTCTGGCTGAGTTGCTGAGGCTGGCTTTGAACTCCAAGCTACTGGGATTACAGGCGTGCACCACGGTGTCCAGCTTCCCCTCCGACTTTGACTGTAAACCAAACAGGCTCCTTATATGAACAGTGACTCTCAGACCCACAACAGCAAACAAGGCAGTCAGTGATCCCTGAGAAGGGAGGCCAGGAGATAACCTTCCACTGCCCATCTCTCCGGAATTCCTACAGCTGCTGGCGGAGTCTGATTCCAGCACATCTGGAATTCAGTCCACCAGACATCTGGAGTCTCCAGCTACCAAAAATAAGAGGAGCTCATCCCTCCTCCGTCGCCATCACTGCTGCAGCCTAGATGTGGAACAGCCCCCAAGGCCCAGCCCATGATGCCCCTGGAAGGCAGCGGAACTCCTAACGGGTTTAAGGCTAGGTGCAGTGGCACATTCCCGCCATCCCAGTCACTCAGGAGGCTGAGGCAAGAGGATCATAAGCTTAAGGCCAGCCTGGGCAAGTTAGCAAGACTCTGTCTCAAAAAATTAAAAAAGAGCTGGGAATGCAGCTGGGTGGTGGAACACCCCCAGGTTGAGGGCACACCTTCAACAGAACTTTGAACCCCACACACACTGCTTCTTCCTCCTTCTCTTCTGTGTCCCAGCCAAGAGGTCAGCAGCTTTGCTCCATCACACACTCCCCCCAATGATGTGCCACCACAGGCCCCAAATGACACAGCCAACCAATCAGGGGCTGAACACTCTTAAAACTATGAGCCAAAAATAAACCTTTTCTCTTTATAAATTGATTGTCTCGGGTATTTGTTACAGCAACAGAAAGTTGACTGTCACACTCTCTGCTGGAGTCCTGGTGGACTTCCCACCCCCTCGAACTCCTACATCCAATCACCTCCCAAGTCTAGTCCCTTCTCCTGCCTTCCTCAAGTCGGTCCACGTCCCTGAACCCAGGACTACAGCCCTGACTCTGGCAGCCTCCTCAGGACCTCCCTACTGCACCCGCTTCCACTCTCTGCGTGGATGTGTGTGTCTTCTCTGCAATCCAGCGCAACCTGTCATTCCTTTTTGTCTCCATTGTCCTCAGGCTAAGTCCGCGTTCCTTAGGCTCCCGTGTCCTTTTGTTCTGTTTTTTATATTTTCTAGTTGTAGATGGACACAATACCTTTATTTTATTTTTTAAATTTTTATGTGGTGCTGAGGATCCAACCCAGTGCCCCACACACACGAGGCAAGCGCTCTACCACGGAGCCACAACTCAGTCCCTCCTGTGTCATTTTGTCCCCAGCTCCTGCTCACTTCTCCAATGACACAAAAACCACCATCCTCCCTTTGTACCTAAGCACATTTTGGTTCTGTTGCCTAGAAATGCCCTTCTCACTGCCTTTTTTTTTAATATATAAGTCATCAATAGACCTTTATTTCRTTTACTTATATGTGGTGCTGAGGATCAAACCCAGGGCCTCACATATGCCAGGCAAGTGCTCTACCTCTGAGCCTCAGCCCCAGCCCATCTCAATGCCTTCTTGGCTCTTATTATTCATCATTCAAGTCTTGGCTTGGTGTCACCTCCTCCAGAAAGCCTTCCCCGATTTTCCAAGGCCTCCCCTGTGTTCTGTGCCCTCCCCTGAACAGCACCCATCACCCTGGGCAAATATAGCCGAGTGGACATCCCTCCCGGGCAGCAGGAACTGATGATGCTGTCATAACTGTAGCACCCCCTATACTGTAAATAGCAAATATTTGATTAAATGGGAAAATGGGGGCTGGGGGGGTGGCAGAGAGTGCTGAGAGGAGACGGGCAGAATGGAGCAGGAGCCGTAAAAGAGGAGGTGGGCCTGCAGGACACCGTGGGGCAGGAGACCTGAAGAGGAGGGGACCACCCGGCCACAGGCCTTCCGGGGGGGGGGGCCCAGGCTCACCTCACAGTGATAGCATTCCACGTGGTAGTCTCTGTCCATGGACACCACGCGGATGGTGGTCTCGCAGCCCTGGAGGAAGAGTGACGGACACGTGAGCAGCTCACTGGACCTGGAGGCAGACTGTGCCAAGTGCATACCTGGCCGTCTGCACCACTCATCTACCACCCRGCCCAGCACCCCACCCTGCGGGCACAGACCCAGCACTTCCTGAGGCCACATCAGTGCCCAGGCCTCAGGCCCCCCCACCGCCATGGCCAACAGCTCCTCGGGTGTCGTGAGTGTCACAGGGTGCCACAGGGTGTCCATGTGAGTGTGTGTGACCTTCACTTCTGGAGGCAGGGAAGGTCACCCTGAGCCCTGCTTGTCCAGGCAGCAGCCCGGGACAGACAGCTCACGGGGCAGAGCCCGGCCCTGAGACGGCCGCTGTGCCCCAAGCTGGCAGCTGCCCAGACCTCCCTCGGCCTCCCCCACCCACCCAGCCTCAACCTGCAGAGTTCAGCAGACCCAGGAGCCACCTCCCTCCATGGAGAAAGGAGCGGGGAAGGAGTGGGGCAGCCACTGGTTCCTACCTGTGCAGGGAGGATGGGACGGGCACAGGAGGCACATTTTGGTGCAAAAACCCTGGAGGAATAAAGGAAACCAGAAGTGACCAACAGTGTGACCACAGGCCAAGGACACAGGTCCACCCACCCAGCCCCAAGACTTGGCCCAAGCATCAGGCCTTCCCTCCTCCTGTGGCTGCTTCCTGGCTCCCGCTGTGCCTTCTGGGTACTGCCCTTTCATCTGGCTCCCAGTTCCCCTCCACCCTCTCCCACCTCCAGAATGCCCTCAGGATCTGTCCTGCCATCTCGCTCATGCTTCCTGGGAGTTCCGTGCCACTTAAAGTCCAGGTTTGGTTCACCCCTGCTGAGACCTCTGTGAGACCTGGCTCCACCCTGAGTACCAGGGACAGGTGGCCAGGACCAACGCAAGAGAGGCAGCAGCACAGGAGCGAGCCTGGGCCTGGAGCCGCAGCAAGGGGAATGGACCACGGGCCCCAGACAGAGAGGAGAAGGGGTCTGTCAGGACTCGAGTCCCATCCTGGGGGAGAGGCCCAGCCCTGGAGTGGGGAGGGCAGTTAGGAGAGTCCCCGCCACTTGGAAGAGGGCACCCGCAGGCGGAGGCAGGCACGGCTGGTGGCTGAACTGCCCGAGAGAAGTGGTCAAAGCAGACGTCAGAGTGTTCAAGGGCGGGTCAGAAGAGGACAGACCAAGGATGGAAAACACAGACAGCCAGGCCCAAAAAATGCTCCCCGGGGTGACAGCCCGGGTGRCGCCTGCTTCACGGCAGCAGCCACTCACGTGTGATAGTCCCTGACGCAGTAGATGTTGCTGTCCACGTCCACGGTGAAGGGCACCCCGTCCAGGCACTCGTTGCACACGGAGCACCGGAAGCAGCCCGGGTGGTAGGACTTGCCSAGGGCCTGCAGGATCTGGGGGTGGGAGGCACTGAAGGGTCAGCGTGGGCAGAAGGCTCAGCAGTGCCCCCGGGGGAGGCTGTGACTCTGAGCCCCTGGCAGGTCTGGAACAGGTGAGAGGGTGGGGTCCTCAGACTCCGCCAGTGTCAGAGGGGCCCCAGGAGGCTAGGGGAGGGTCTCACCATCTCCATGATGAGGTGTCCACACACGCTGCACTTGTCAGCTGTTTGCTGGAACCCGGAGTACTGGGAAGGGGACACAGGATGCAGGACGTCATATGACAAAGGGGCACTCGATGCCCAGTCAGCACCTACCTCCTGGCCTGAGGCCTCCAWGGGAGTCAGAGGGAGTCCTGCCCCTGCTCCCACCATGGCACGGCCAAGGGCACAGCCTGCACTCACCAGGAAGTCCTCCTGGCAGTACACCTTCTCTCCCACGTTGTAGAACGCCTTCCCGCGAAGTCGTCTCCCTGTGAGGACGAGGGGTGGCAAGGGGGACCCTGGAATGCCGAACAGGATGGAGCCAGCGTCCATCTCTCGGCTCTCTCCTCCAACCGATGAGAGGACGGACGGATGATGGATGCATTTTAAAATTTCCCCTTAATGTCATTATTGTTATAATAATAAGCATTTCAAAAAAAAATCAGAACACACTGTCAACAGAACACTGGCAAGAGGCTGTCAAGGCAAATATGAGAACGATTTTTGGAGCTGGATGCCGTGGTGGTGCACGCCTGGAATYCCAGAGGCTGAGGCAGGAGGATCGCAAGTTCAAAGCCGACCTCAGCAACTTAGCAAGGTCCTAAGCAACTTAGTGAGACCCTGTCTCTAAATAAAATTTTTTAAAAAGGCTAGGAATGTGACTTAGTGGTTAAGTGCCCGCAGGTTCAATCCCCAGTACCAAAAAAGAAAAATAACTTTTTTTWAAATTTTTTTTGCAGTGAGGGGATTAAATCCAGGGCATCTCTGATGTATGGCAAGGGCTCTAACTTAGCTATTCCCCCAGCTCTTCGTATTTGTTATTTTGAGATAAGATTTTGCCAAGTTTCCTAGGCTGCTCTTGAACTTGCACTCCTCTTGCCTCAGCCTCCCAAGTGGCTAGGATTACAGGTGTGCACCATTGCACGCAGCTACAAAATGAATCTTCTTAATCTATAAATATTAGAAATACAACTCTTTGGGGCTGAGATTGTAGCTCAGTGGAAAAGTGCTTGCCTCGCATGCCTGAGACACTGAGTTCCATCCTCAGCACCACATTAAAATAAATATACTGTGTGTTCATCTATAACTAAAAAATATACATAAAAATATTTAAAAAAAAAAAGGGGCTGGGGATGTGGCTCAAGCGGTAGCGCGCTTGCCTCACATGCGTGCGGCCTGGGTTAGATCCTCAGCACCACATACCAACAAAGATGTTGTGTCGGCAGAGAACTAGAAAATAAAAATATTAAAAAAAAAAAAAAGAAAAGAAATACAACTCTTTTGCCCACTTTGAAAGAGCATTCTGGTCAGAACAAAAGCTGCAGCCAACCTGGCAGCTATCAGAGGCTTTCCCATCACCATTAGGTGTCAGTTCCTGACTAGCAACAAGAGGGAGTATCCTCAACCTAATAATGGTGTCCCTGAGAAGCACAYAGCTAGCACCCAGTATGACAGTGAAATATTACATTGTTTCCGCTTTAGATTAAACTTGTACTAAAGGTTCTCGCAGTGCAACAAATGAAAAACAGAAAGGCAATAAGTACTTGGGAGGCTAAGGCAGGAAGATCAGGATTTGAAGGCTGACCTTGGCAATGTAACAAGACCCTGTCTCAAAATTTTTGAAAAAGAGAAAGGAGTGGGGATGTTAGGGATTTAGCTCAGTGGTASAGCACTTGCCTAGCATGTGTGAGGCACTGAGTTCAATCCTCAACATCACATAAAAATAAATAAAGGGATTATGTCCATCTACAACTAAAAAAATATATATATATATATTTAAACTAAAGAATAAACTTGCCAGGTGCAGTGGTGCACGCCTGTAATCTCAGCAGAGCTCGGGAGGCTGAAGCAGGAGGATCGGGAGTTCAAAGCCAGCCTCAGCAACAGTGAGGCACTAAGCAACTCAGTAAGACCCTGTCTCTAAATTAAATTCAAAATAGGGCTGGGGAATGTGGCTCAGTGGTTGAGTGCCCCTGAGCTCAATCCCCAGTACCCTCCCACCGAAAAAGAATAAAATTATGGAAAGATACCTATGACCTTATACTGTAAAATCAAACTTAGCTGAGAGAAATTTAAAAAGACTTACAATAGAGCTGGGGGCATAGCTCATCAGTAAAGTGCTTGCCTGCCATAACATGAGACCCTGGTTGAATCCCCAGTACCACAGGGGGCAAAAAAAAAAAAAAGACCTTTACAAATACAAAAAGACATACCATCAGTAGACAACGATTTTCCACTGAAGTTTCTGCAGAGAGAGGGCTGGGAGCTCTCATTCTGGATTCTCTTTTCAAGAATATTTGCACAGCAAACTACTTAGAAGACAAGAGAGTCCTCTGGGAACAGAGGGCAGGTCTGTTTGCATCTAGTATTATGAAAATAAAAGGTTCCTCCAGGATAATGGTCAAGCAGCTTTGCTGGCAGCCTACTATAAAACAGTAGGATCCTTGCTGGGGTGGTGGTGYATGCCTGTAATCCCGGMCACTCAAGAGGCAGTGAGCGGCAGGAGGATCATTTGAGCCCAAGAACCAAAGACCAGCCTGGACAACACAGCAAGACCCCCCCCAAAAAAAAAGTCTCAAAAAAAATGGGTTCCTTAAGCCCCTCGGCCCTGACATACACCACCCTCTGTGTGGATCGTCTCCCTAGCCACTCTGTGTCAACTCTGTGGGACTCCAGGGGGAGGCAGAAGGGAAGAGAACAGGGAGCTCAGGCAGGGAATCTCCAACCACAGGCCTCTTGTCTTCTGTCAGCATCACAGAAGAAAGGCTGGTTATCCTGTCAGCTTGCAAGAAGGGTGAAATCTCAGACCTCCACACTTTGTAACAGTCACGTTCATGGCTTTGAACCTTAGGGGATTAATTTTTCCCTAATGCCATCCAATCAAGATCTAGCACTCTCTTTTCTTTCCTTCCTTCCTTCCTTCCTTCCTTCCTTCCTTCCTTCCTTCTTTTTCTTTCTTTCTTTTTTCTTGTAAAAACTGATATGCCAACTCTAAAATTTATGTTAAAATTCATTAATAAACATGCAAAGAGCCGGGCATGGTGGCACATGCCTGTAATCCCAGTGACTCGGGAGTCTGAGGCAAGGGGATTGCAAGTTCACAGCCAGCCTTGGCAACTTAGTGAGGCCCTAAGCAACTTTGCAAGACTCTGTCTCAAAATAAAAAAAAAAAATAAAAAGGGCTGGGGATGTGGCGCAGTGGTTAAGCACCCCTGGGAACCAGAATTGCCCAAGTAATCTTGACAAAGATCAGCCAACCTGGAAGACTTATGGTACCTATTTTATAGGCTTATAGCAATCAAGATAATAKTGAGATAAGGAAAGACGCAAAAAAAAATCAACAGAACAAAATAAAGTCCCAAATACTTATAATATATTTCTTTTTTTTTTTTTCGGGGCGGGGGGTTATAAAGAATTGAACTCAGGGGCATCCAACCACTGAGCCACATCCCCAGACTTATTTTGTATTTTATTTAGAGACAGGGTTTCACTGAGTTGCTTAACACCTCACTGTTGCTGAGGCTGACTTTAAACTTGCGATCCTCCTGCCTCAGCCTCTGGAGCTGCTGGGATTACAGGCGTGAGCCACTGCGCCCAGCTTAAACCCTAAACATTTCAACAAATACACAAGGAGGAAAATAAATTCTTCAGCAGATGGTGCAAGAACAACTGGATAACCTTATAGAAAAACAATAAAACTCAATTCCTTTCCTYACACCATCCACAACAATTAATATGAACTGGTCATCAACCTGAACATGAAACCTAGCAACTTAGAGCTTCCAGAAGAAAATTACAGGAGACGATCACTGTGACTAAGGGAGGACAAAAACTTTTTAAGTCACAGAAAGCGGGCTGGTGACGTAACTCAATCATAGAGCATTTGCCTAGCGTGTGAGAGGCCCTAGATTGGATCCCCAACACCACAAAACAAACAAACAAACAAAAAAACATCAAAGGACATCATTAAAAATGTTTTTAAGAATCACACTAGAGGCAGGCTTGGTAGGTCCTGTCTGTAATTCCAGCAACTCAAGAGGCTGAGGCAGGAGTTTGAGGCCAGCTTGGGCAACTTAGAGAGAATGTCTCAAAATAAAAACTTTAAAAAGGGCTGGAGATGTCATTTACTGTGTGCCTAGCATGTGTAAAGCCCTGGGATCAATACCTGGTTCTCAAAAAAAAAAAAAAAAAAAAGAAAGAAAGAAAGAAGAATCACACTAGGAGAAAATATTCATAAAACATGCATCTGACAAACAATTTATACTCAGAATAAATATATATATGTAAAATCCTATAATTTAATAATTAAAAGATAGCTGGGTGTAGTGGCACACACCTGTAATCACAGCAACTCAGGAGGCTGAGGCAGGAGGATCACAAGTTTGAGGCCAGCCTCAGCAACTTTAGTGAAGCCCTAAGCAACATAGTGAGACCCTGTCTCAAAATGGAAATAAAAGGGGTAGGGAATGTAGCTGAGTGGTTAAATGACCCTGGGTTCAACCCCCAGCAACAATTTTAAAATTGTACCAACTCCCAATTCTAAAAAAAATAATAATAATAAAAAAAATAAAATTAAAATAAATAATAAATAAATAAAGGTAGTAGTCATGAACAAACTTTCCAAAATATATATTAATGTCCAAGAAGCAAACAAGATGTTGAACCTCATTAGTCACCAAGGAAATATAAATTAAAACCACATTAAGATACCACCCATTAAAATGGTTAAAATTTAAAAGACAAAATGCCAATTGTTGGAAATATGTAGACTAGCCGCACTCTCTTCCATTTCTACTGGGAGTGTAAAATGGAASAACCCCTTTGGAAAACAGTCCAGTGGTTTCTTATAAAGTTAAACATACACTCACCCTGTGACCCAGAAATTCCACTCCTTGGAATTTACTCAAGAGAAATGAAAACATATGTCCACAAAGTGAACTCTACAAGAATGTTCACAGAACAATCTAGTATCTATCAGAAGTTAATGGATAAACAAACTGTGGTGTGTTCATACAATGGATTCCTATTCAATAATAAAAAGGAGTGAGTTACTGATATACACAATGTAATGGATTGGGGAAAAAAAAGGCATGCTCAGCAAAAGAAACTAGCCACCAAATGGGACATACTACACAAATGCATTTATATAAAGTTCCAGAAGAGACAAAACTAATCTGTAGCTAGAAATCAGAATACTGAGCTGGACTCAGTGATACCCACTTGTAATCCCAGCTATTTTGGAGGCTGAGGCAGGAGGAGAGCAAGTTTG